TTTGTGATCACACGTCGTTCTCGTCGTTTCCTGCATGATCGGCACCTCCACTGAAAGATCTTCGGATTGTCCCCTGGGAGGATATTGAAAGTCAGAGCCCAACTCACCACAAATCCATTAGCATGCTTGATGAGGCTCATCAATTGCTCCTTAGGACAGCTTTCGATTTTGCATTCCCTCGTATTAGGAATGATACCATATCGGGCCAAAAATTGAATACTAAAAAACATAGGTGTTTACTTGTTTGTAATTAATGTCTCCTGAGACGAAAGGTGTTTATCGACAAACCCGCACCCTACACGGGAATCACGGAATATCCTCTGAAGTAGGTCAGCATCGAAGTCTATGTCGAGAATCTCATCCGGTTCAGCAACTGATGTGCCATCGAGTATCGTGAATTTCCCTCGTTCTGGCCGACTCCTAAACATCAAATGCATCCTCCAGTAATTACTTGAATGGGAAGTCAAAAATTGAAGCAAATATGAGAAAAAACAGGAGAATTCGGTAGATGGGGAAGAAAATTTAATTTTAGGCCCAAATCGCCAGCGAGCACGTTCTATGGACAGTTCCTATTCGTTTTCTTTTGAAATGAGATCAATACAAAAAGTGACAAAGTGCAGAAGGAAGTTCTAAGTAAATAAATAGATAAATAAATAATTGTAAATAAATAGGACCATAAAGAGACGGTTGACAGAGATCTTCAGTGCAGAAAGGTGAATGTGAAGAGATGGATCTGTGCTTAACGTTAGCATTGAGACCAAGTCTTTGAGAATGACCAAGTTTTCATTTTCCCTCAAATTGTAGAGTGGTTTGGAGTTTCGTTGGAGAAGTTCCCTTGCATATGTGCCACGTTCGTATGACAACTTTACCCATCTTTGCTTCGAGTAAGTTAGGTTACAAAGGAACCTATAAGTAAATCGATTCCAACGCAAAAGACCATATTTTCGGTTGCAAAATTGCTTAAAATCATGGCATTCTGGGGCCATTCTGTGTGTTGTATGGGGGATAGGTAAAAGAGCTCTGGGAAGGTTTTACATGGGTACATTTTTAGTAACTAGAATTTACTAGAATTTTAGGTAAGGTGTAAAATCATCAACGTATTTTGACTGAAAAGTCCATCAATTTTCCGTATTATTCCGTTCCATTACCCATTAGATTGTCCCGTTTAAAAGCAGATAATTGGGAAAAAGATAGGCGAAGAGCAAGAGGAGCTGATGAATCTGAACAAATAAAGGGGACCTTCGATTAGCTAGAATCTGCTGCTTTGGTTCCCGTTTTACTCTTTTCGGTGGCGGCTCGCCATTTTGTTCCTCAGCATCCGCTTCATCGCTGCCAGATTCTGCCTGGAAAATGCGTTACAGGTAGCTGATAGCCCAGTCTGTGGTTCCACCAATATCGAAATGAACTGGGAAAAGAAAAATGGAATAACCGTGAACCTCACTTCATCGGCAATCTCATCTTCTTCTTTTATATCTTTGTTCGTAATAAAATTGGCATTTTTCGTTTGAAATAGCGATTCAAGTATGTCCATCGACCCTAGAATAACAGCGATTCTGTGATGAACAGTTTGATTCCTTTGTGACTTTTAGGAGAGTACAGATTGGACGGGGATTTTGGTCTGAGGGGGTGCCTTTTGAGGTCACGGTCTTACCCTGGTTCGCTATCCATAACGCGCCCATATCGGACCGTTACTGAATTGTATTACATCGACCCGAAGTTCCCAGAACGAAGGAAAACAA